TGCTGGGCCAGACTCCCCTCTAGAACCCAGAGCCAGCAGCCATGGGGACACCCACAGCGTGAAGTTGGTGATGAAAGCGGTCTTGGGCAGCTCCACGTCAAAGGAAACCTCCTTGGCGGCATCTGCGCGGTTGACGGCCCTCGTGGTGACAACATTGTGAGCAAAGCGGGAGGTCACCTTGCAGCTGACCTTGGTACTGTAGACCTCAATGTCGTCAGCCTTCTGTGGGAGACGGGATGGTGATCAGTGGTGACCTGCCAACCCGGGCCCTGGGAAACAGGTCTTCTAACCTGGCCACTCCTCTTCCCAAGGCCCTGCCTGGGAAGCGTCCCAGTCACCCATGTGGGAAGCCTGGTGGCCTCCTCCGTCCCCCTGCTCAGTTGGCCACCTCTGTCCTGATGTTGGGCGCCTGGGCAGTCCTGGTGCCCCTGGCATTGCCGGCCTTCCTGAGCACCTCTCTCCCCTCAGAGACCAGGGGCTTCTTGGCGGGCAGAGGCCTTGTCTGATTCAGCCTGTGTTTCTCCCTGTTCACTGGGCCCCACAGGTTCCTTAGCTCAGCCTCCCTCATTGCTCAGCAGCAAGAAGTCACTTAGGAGGGGGAGTTTTGCACCATGAGAAGGAACTTCACATAGTGCCAAGAGGAGAGGGCGAGGGGAGGGAGCAAACCAGGGAGCAGGGGTTAGCTCAAACGTACTTGCCCTAGGGAGGCTCTAGAGAGGGAGGCTCTAGGGGGGCTCTAGGGAGGCTCTAGGGAGGCTCTAGGGAGATTTCTGGGTTAAACATGGCCTCCTTAACCCTTTAGTGTGGTTCCATCCAACCTGGAGCCTGTGAGATCTTATTAAAAAACAAATGTGACCCTAAAGCCCTCCCCTACTCCCCATTGCCCTCAGGACAGTGTTCCCCATGCTCTGAGGTTCTCCAGGAGGGTCCTGTCACCTCCACTCTGGTGCCCCAGCCAAGCCAGGTCTCTGCCCCTCTGACCCCGGGGGTCAGAGACCTAGCCCAGCTCCTCCTGCTCACCTTTCACACTTCCATTTCGAAAGCTCACCCTCTACCCTCCTACTGTGCCCTTTGGTAATTGTGTGATTCTACCTTCCAAACAGGATCTTATTTCCTGTGCTGGAAATAGAGTGTGGGCAGGACTTCCTGTCCCCAATAGTCTCTTTCCCCCGGGAGCCTGGGGGTGGTGAATGGGGACAAGGTGAACTGAGCGCAGCTCTAGGGAAACTTCTGGGTTAAACGTGGGTATAAAGATGCTCAGTGAAGGTGTGACGGGGCCTTTCACCGCCCAGCCCAGTATCAGCCACTACTGGGTGTTTGTGGAAGGAAGGACGGTGCAGTGGCCATCCTGGGCTGCGTCTAGGGAGGTCCTAGGGGGCATAGTTCTATGGCACTGTTTCCAGGAGGTCTTGAGTCACATGGGGGTCTGCCAGGGTAGGGGCTGTGAGCTGTTTGTCAGCTGTGCAGGACCTGCTGCTATGGCCCAACTCTTCAGCAGTTGAGCAACCAGCTCCATCCTGGCCCCCTCACCATGCCCCCTCCCTGGTGAAAGTCCTCACCTCATCAACGCTGCGTTTCTGGAAAAGCAAAGACAAACACACTGTCAGACAAGGCCAAGGCCACTGTGGCTGGGGGGCAAGTTCTTGGCAGAGGCCAGGGTTCAGTGGTGACCCACACACACACCTTGAAGGGCCTCTGGATGTAGGACCCATCTGGAGCCGCTTGTCAGAGTAGAAAGGGCTCTGAAGAGATGGGGAAAGTGAGGTCCGCAGAGAGCAGGTCTCCGGCTACCCAGGAGAGCAGGACAGGGCTTTCCCCTGCTCCACAGACCTCGGCTCACTCTGCCTGTCCCTGCACCCGGGTCCATGAGGCCTCCTCGCACAGCACCCCGCACCCCTGCACACCACAGGGCTCAGCCCAGCCCTTCCTAGGCCCCTCTGCCCTTTTCTCAGAGGTGGACCTTCACAGCTGCTCAGTGAGGTGAGCAGTTCGTGGTGTATCACCCATTTGACAGATGGGGAAACAGGCCCAGGGAGAACTAAGAGCCTTGCCCAGAATCAAAGGGTAAGTTTGGAGCCCTGTTATCCCAAAACCCACCCTGTCCCCTGCAGCTCATGACCCCGCCCTCTACCTCCCCCTCCCGCATGTAGAGGACCACCCAGGCTGGGACCTCTGCCCCGTGATGGGCCCAGATTGTGAAGAGAGGACAGACTTACCTCAAGTGGCCGGGAGGGGCTTCTTGGGAAGCCAAAGGCCACCGAGCTGGAGAGCAGGGCCACGATGAGGCAGGGCCACCAAGCGGACGCCATCGCTGAACACATAGGCCTGGCCCGCAGTCTTTATATGAGCCAGCTGGCCGGCGGGGTCAGTGATCTCCAGCAGTGCGGGAGGAGCAGGAGGCAGAGGAAGCCGGCATGTGGGTGGAGTAGGAGGGGCTGGGTTCTGGGTGGGGACAATAGTGACAAGGTGTGGAGTCGCATTTAGAGCAAATAGCATCTGTCAGCCTTGTTGCCTATTACCCACAGCACTGGCATGGCCCCTGGATCACAGCCACCCGCTGGTCAAGGCAGCCAGGCCACGGAACCAGGCCCATCATCTAAGGCTCTGATTTCCATGGCTGCAGCCCTTGCTCAGCATCCTTCTCTGGTTCTCATGGCCCCAGGGAAAGGATGAACCCCAAGTCCTGTGGCCCAGCTCTCTCTGTTACCTGGTTCCAGCTTGCTTTTCTGAAGTTTCTCTCCACCCCTGGCATGCCCTCCCCTAGTCTGCACGTCGCATCTTTCATCTCTCATCTCTGCCAGCCCCTGTGCGCTCCTCCGGAGCCTTCCTCTTTCATACCTAGCTGACCGCAAGCAACTTTGAAGCATCGTTACCCTGAGTTGAGGTTTGCATGTTGAGGTCTGATTAGGGCCTCCACCAGTGGTTGTCAACCTTCCTAATGCCGCGACCCTTTGATACAGTTCCTCATGTTGTGGTGACCCCCAACCATAAAATTATTTTCATTGCTACTTCATAACTGTAATTTTGCTACTGTTAGGAATCATAATGTAAATATCTGATATCCAGGGTGTATTTTCAGGGGTTTCGACCCACAGGTTGAGAACCGCTGCCTCTGGGCTCCAGGACGGCCAGGCCATGTCACATTCATACCTGGGTTCCCAGGGTCTGGCCAGTGACTCAGCTGCCCTCAACCTCTTAAGGAGTCATTTCCCACCCTGGCAGGGGGCCTTAGTTGGTTGGAGCATCATCCATACACCAAAAGATTGTAAGTTCGATTTCCAGCAGGGCACATACTTGGGTTGCAAGTTTGATTCCCTGTCAGGGCACATACCTGGGTTTCGGATTTGATCCCCAGTTGGGGTACGTGCAGGAGACAACAGATCAATGTTCCCCTCTGTCCCTTTCTCCCTTCCTCTCTCTCTCTGAAAATCACTAAAAACATGTCCACAGATGAGGATTAAAAAAAAAAGTCATTTCCCAAGAGTGTCCAGTGAGTCTGGAGGGCAGGCCTCCTGGACAACGGAAGCTTTGGAGGCAGTGTCTGGTCTCCTCCAAGTGGGGAACGAGACTCCTGGGCTACACCAGGGCCCTACCAGCCCCCGGAACTTCCAAAGTGGCAGCTTTGAGGAAAGTGACCCAGTAACCCTCCCACTCAGCCACACTCTCTGTTTATGTTTTTTCTTTAATATATTTTTATTGATTTCAGAGAGGAAGGGTGAGGAAAAGAGAGAAAGAAATATAAATGATGAGCGAGAGAATCATTGATTGACTGCATGCTCCCTACTGCAGATAGAGCCCGCAACCCAGTCATGTGCCCTAACTGGGAATCTAGCCATGACCTACTGATTCATAGTTCAAGACTCAACCACTGAGCAACACTGGCCGAGCCCACTCAGCCCCTCTCAATGGAGTTGACAAGGATGCCTGGGACAGGGCAGCTAATTTATGGATTGTACCATGGCCTTGGCTGATAGTTCTGCCCCTGACTGTGACATGTGCAGAGAGAGTTGACTGCTAGGAAAAGAGAAACAGGGGGAGAAACCACCTCACCCGAAATGTTTCGGGTTGTGTGGGAGGAACTACTTGAAATAGCAATCTGAGGTTGCTCAGGAGGCTCCTGAGGGACAGCTGGGGACTTGGAGGGACGTAAGGTCATCGTGCAGAATGTAGGCTTAGACAGAACCTAAGAGACCCTCAGGCTCAGCCATTTCCTTGCTGCAGGAGGGG